AGAAAGTGAGGACTAAACTTATGATTGCTGTTTATCGGTCATTTTGATTAATGAAATTCTATTAGATGATAAACGACTTTTATGAACGCTTAATAGAGTTGCAGTCCTTTGCTCCTGTATGAAATGACGTTTGCTGTTAATAAGTTTCAGAATAACTAATGTTCATTTTAGAGACGAATAGGCGAGGATACTATTTGCGTAACCTGAAAATGATATGAGTTAAAGAGCTAAGATTTTACTAATATTAAGTTAGGACTTTGCTCTCTCTTTTTGAAATGTCGATAAAAGTCTTCAGTTCTTCTCACGTATTGAATACAGCATGAGTTTTGAAGATGAACTGAATCTAAAATAAGAATAATACGCTTTGTCGATCCAAACATAATGAACAGATAGTCTAATTGTGCGTGCATTGACCCATGAAAGACTTTGATAGGTAACTGTTTGTGTTCCAAAAAGAAAAGCATTATACTAAAATTTATTTATCAAGCCTTTTCAAAGCCTGAGTGGATAATAAACCTTGCCTTTTCTAACTATTGAGGCGTGTTTGATGCCGTGACATTACTTATTAACCTTTGTAATTCTTTTAACTGTGAATATCATCAAAAACTAGATATTTAGTGTGGAGATGCACCAATTCCAATTTTAGTCAATTTCAATGCTTAGGATTGGTTGGACTTGACTGAATTTGCAATTGAAATTGATTGATGTTGAGTAGAATTGATCTGGAACTGACAAAATCCGACATAGAATTGACTACGATTCGTTCTTAGTCACACTCTTTTGTCCTTATCTCCTGCTATATAGTGGTGCCGTTAGATTCTCAAACTGTTCTATGGAGCTATGCTTAAATCAGGTGAGGGATGGAACCATGCTAATACTTGCAATACTGATACCAAATGGCATTATAGGTATTGAATCAGTAGTGTACAAAGGATGATCACACTTGAAATTTTCTAAAGCCGATGATAGATTGGAACTTTTAGATCGTTCAAGACTTTCATCAAACCTTAAAAAACTCCTATACTCGATAAAAAGCCTTTCCTTGACGAAAAAGTGAAGAATTGAAAATCAATCTCTCAAAGTTTTTCGATTTTTGAGTTTTTTCATCTAGGAAAGGACCTTTTTCAAATATAAGGATTTTTTATAAAGTACAATCGAAGTATTGCGGGTTAGAGAAATCCCAATCTATCATCAGTTCTTTGAAATTTTCAAGTTTGATTTTCTAGTGCAAAGTAACTATTCAATGCCATCGATGCCACTTAGTATTGGCATTGAAGTTTAAGATGGTTACATCATCTTCTGACCTAATGCTACTTCCATATATTAGAAGATAAGGACCTGAAGCTACCTTCTTGCAATATTCTTGAGGATCTCAAGATAGGTACTTCCATATAACAGGACTTGAGTACCTAAAGATACCTTCATACAATAGGAGATAAGGACCAAAGGGTGTGATTAACAACTAATCGTAAGCAATTTCAGACCAGATGTTGTTAGCTCCAGAACAATCCTGGTCAATTCCAATTCCAAGAATTCGAATTGACTGGAATTGGAATTGATGCATCTCTATAACTTGGGATTCAGCAGGAAATCGCCGGAACTGGAAGCAGTAATTCGACCGGAAGGTTTTCGGATTTTTCCGATGAATTCCAACCGTTTCCTGCTGGAAAGCACAAGGTTATGACTGCAATCCACTGAAACAAGTCCAGCAAATATCCAATGAGAATACTACTTCCACTTTCGACAATTTTCGATGCTTTCCTGCAGCAACCAGCCCGCCATTTTCGACCCGGGAGTGAGAAAAATAATAGCAGAAGTTGTTAAGAGCTCATACTGTACGAGCCAGTGTGATATTAGAAACTAATTGGAGTGACTAATGAGGGTCTTGACTAATAAATAGGACCCTGACAATGTAAAAAAGTTTTTATAAGGTCCTAGTAGAATCTAACAGGATCCAGCAGGATCCGAAAGGATCCATAGGATCCAAAAGGATCTAGTAGAATCCGAAACGATCCATAGGATCCAAAAGGATCTATAGGATCCACAGGATCCAGCAGAATCCACAGGATCCAGGATCCGCTTTTTCCCCCTTGGATTATAGTCTAAAAATCCTAGCCCTACAGCTGAGTAAACAAACGATAAGATTTAAATAATTCAAATTATCCTTTCCTAAAATATTTCCTATTGAAAAAACATAACATACTTGCTGTGTACCGTTCAACAGTTTTTATTTTAACGTTTTTTATTTATCTCTCATTAGTCATTTGATTATAGAAGAAAGAAAGATCTAGTCTTATTATGGTGCATTCTATCAATAAGATTCGTTTTGAATAACTCAATTATATAGTAGATGAAATAAATTTTATATTTAAATTGTTTTTAATTGTCACTGAGTCAATCCTGTTATCTATTGCTAACGACATAATCAAATCTCAAAGTAAATAAGTCATTTTACTATTAACTAGAACAAAGGTTCTACACCATGTCGATGTTTCTATTTGCATAGATTAAATTTCCCTGAAAAATGGTATTTTTTACCTCGTAATCGTTTTTGTTTTTTTTTATAAGGTAGATGGTAAAAGATTTTTCATAAAATCCATTGATATTCTTATTGGTTATATTTACAAATTAAATCATAGATATTTTACTAGTAATCAATTATTTAACTTGTTTTTTCGTCAACTGTTAACATAATTAGATCTTAAATAGAATTGAAAAATAGACATTTATTCTACGAAATAGTTAGAAAAATTTTAAAAAATAAAAAACATCTCTTCCTAAATTTATTCCGTTTAAATGAATTATTCGAAAATTTATAGACTGATTTAAGAAATAAATGACTCGGAACTAATCTAGAATGTATAAGTCGAAATAAACCATGTATTTCTCTCACTTTGTTTAAATAAGATTTTAAAAAAATCTAATCAATGATAGTGTTTATATAAGTGAGTATAATGTTGCTTGTTTCAAATAAAGCATATTAAAAATAAACGTACATAATAATAATAATGAGAATATAAAAAAAGATAATAATTATCTAAACTATTGAATTAAAACATGAATAAATAGATTTGAAGATCTATCAAGTCGGTAGAGACTCTTGTCAGAAAAGAAGAATTTCTTTAGCTTAAGGCCGCCCCCCCCCCCCACTCCGAAAACCGATTTTTTTGAAAAAGTTCAATTTTCGAGATAAACATATGGGTGTTACCTCCAAGGTGTCTAGTTTTAAAATTCATGAAAGTCACTTCCAATTTCGAAAGGTTTGTTTAGAATAATCGATGAACTTCTAAAGCTTTCTAGCAAAAAACATGGTACCTAAGACTATAGAGAACTTATAGGCCCACTTGTTTTTATCGTCCATAATGACAAACAATGGCACGGCATAATGTTGTACGTCTACTCGATGAGACGTCTGATGGGCTTTTAATTGATATACAATATAACTACGTTTCTCTCTGATGTATGAAGATGATTCAACAAAATATGCAAAGAAAAAAATATTCGCGCGTTTTTCTCAAAACTGTTTTTTGACAAAACTGAGAAACTCCGAACAAATTTTTTTTCACTATAGTTCGTTCTATCGAACTGCGGTTTTTTTTATTCGATAGATTGATGAATCCTCTTTCGAATGAGGGAAACGGAATTTGCATTCGGCCCTTAATATTGAAAAAACTAAAGGTTTTCTGGAAAACCTTGGCTAGGGGTTTTAGAACTTTAAGGTTTCGAGAGTTGCAAAAATGAAATAAAATTAAAATTAAAAAAATCCTTTCCCTCATCCGAAGCAGCAAGGAGTTCTCTTTCAAGTGAGACCACCCCGGGCGCTGTAGCTTGAAGTGTATTGAAAAATTCCTTGTTACCGTGGAAGCCCTATTTTGCCCCTTGATTGTTCGAAATCTTTTGAACGGTAAGGTTTAGAACCTTGAAAATTTTTTCATATATGTACAACTATGAGCCGAACATTCCTAGAAAGTTTCGTGAAATTCCCACGTACTATAACGGAAATCGATTTTGGAGTGGGGGGGGGGGGGGCGGCCTTAAATAAAAATACAGAACAATATTAAAATCTAAGAATTTTTTTCTTTAAAAAAGTCAATGAGAAAAATTCTAGATGGAACTATTTAAAGGCATAATTATTCAATTGTTAGAGCAAGCTCTCAAGTCGTTCTATTTCTTAGACGAACTGGTCAACTGACATAGGCTAATAATTATACCAGCTGAGATTGTCAATGTAAACAGTATCGATTAATAATATTTATAAAAAAAAGTCTCAAATCCTTTTTAGTTCATCCGTTAATATTTTAATTTAGTCGTTGGAATAATTTATAAATATGTTCACGTATTAAGAGAAGATAATTTATGTTTAATCATCTCGATCGAGACATTAGTTTTCTTGAACATTATATGAAAGTTATCGAACATTTTTATAATGTTGATTATCTATTTAAATTCTTTCTCAAAATCCATTCAAATATATATTTTTCTTTTAAGTTCTATATTCTGTCGTCATATGGTACCTTTTACTAATGATAAAAAAAAGTCATTGGAATATTAAATATAATAAAACTATTTGATTTTCTAGCTAAATTATAGTTAAATGATGTTTTTTTAAAATATTCTTATTTAATATTTTTACTAAAATTGGTATCAATTATTAATCTAGATCATCTTGCTCATGTTCAACTAAAAACAAAATGAGAAACATACGAAACTATAACTTATTTATTCATTTTGATGATCAATTAAAAACATAGATTTATAATTGATTAGATTTTATTTGTATTTTTCTGCATAATCTACCATAAGTTATAAATGATATAATTGAATCAATTTTCAAAAAACATCCGAAAAAATCTTCATCTTATATATAAAAGGAATTTGATTATTATTTTCATGATCGAAATAAAGCAGAAAGACATATTGAAAGAAGCTTATATTTCATAGTTTAATCGAAGACTTTCACTAGTTAAATTTGCTCTTAAACAACGAAGAGCTAATTCGATTAGAATTTCTAATTATCATCTTCAATCCAGAACATCAAGAGAAAATACAGTCTCTAGACTCTATTTTCTAATAAAAGGTCGGTGCTATTACAGAATATATTCATACTCTTTACTTCTCATAAAAAAACTTGTCTACGTTTGAGAAATTTTTGATAGAATAAACTAAATGATTTGAATCCGTTTAAAATTTTTTCTATAATAACTCATCTATAAGACAAAACGATAGTTTGACTGTACTATCTATGAATAAAATCAAACCTAAAAGGAAAATTTTTTTTTTTTTAGTGTAATCAACAACTTACCGATGAATTTTTCTGTCGTTTAAGTTCGATTTATTCTATAATATAATTGTGTCATAATCTATCGATAACATCTATTTATGACACGTTAAATGGAATGTGCAATATGAAGAAAAATTCAACTTCTCATTATCAATTAATAAAATATCTCTCAACTTACATAAAGTAATAGGTCTAATCTATTAGAAGCTTGAATTAATCTAGATTTTCTTTTATATGAAAACAAGTCTATCTAATCTATTGGATATGTTTAAAAAAAAATTTTTTTTAACTTTTATGTGTAATTGAAGATGCTTGTATATGTTGATCATATACTATCATTATTTATTTTAACAAATCTCTAAACGAATTCAATATTATTTGATGTTCAACAAAATTTATTGTATCCAGATCTATTAATAGATCAATCAAGATAAGCATTACTATTACAAGTATTAACAGGATTTGTGCGTAATACATTTAATGAAAATGAAAAGAAAATTACTTATAAATTTTCATCTAAATTTTTCAAGACTATTTACAGTTTTACATAATTTCTTAGACTCTAACATTAATTCTTTATGTTTATTATCATATGATGAATCAATATTTACACAGGATCAATCAACAATATATCAAATGATCACTTATTCATCTAAGGATGATGATGCAAGTCAACAACATTACAATTTAATTATTAACAATTACGTTGTTTTGCTGATTTATCACGCCCTATTCAATGATTTACAAAATTAAGTAAAAATTGAAATAATGTTGAAATTTTTGTCAATTATTAAATAGATATAGTTCATAAAGTATTATCGAAAAATCACAGGTCGTGTTAATCTACAATATCAAAATAAGATAAGAATAAAAATGATAGATAAGATATTTACCTCGAAAGTTGGGTGGCATCCCATTAATATATACTTCTGTGTGATCATCATCTTCAGATATTGTCGAGTTTGGAGAACAAGGAATGAAACCTGGAGGAGGTATATAATAAGGTGGATATAAAACATTTGGATCATTTGGATCAATATTATGTAAATCATCCGAATCCATAGATGTGCTACCGCTGGTGCTTGTCGACACTAGTAGAAATAAACAAAAATTTTAATTACATATTATTTAAACTATGAATGCTTACATAATGATGAATCCGAATCTGCTCGTCGAAGTTTTTGACGCTTTGAACGAACTGGACCAATATGACGTACAGTTTTTGTTTTTTGATCAAATTCAAATGGATTATTCAATTCGACTTTTAACTGACTAAGATCATCACTTGCTAGAATTAATTAGCAGACAATTCCAGCAACAACTATTCATCTCCTTATATTTACCTTTTAGCTTTTCGATGTCAAATAATGTGTCAATAAAACTTCGACTAACAATGTATTTACTAGATGCAATTGATGATTTTTCGTGTACATCTAGACGCAAGCCAATAATCTGAAGTAACAAAGATCATTTACATTGAGATGCACTAGAGCTCGGACGAAAGTATTTATATTTGTATTTTACTGGAAAAAGTACAAAAAATCCAAGTACCAAATATTCATCATGTCTACTTAGTACTTATACTTGGACTTGGAGACAAGTATGTTTTTACTTAAAATCAAGTACAAAAACTTGTATTTCATACTTTTACTTGTACTTTAAAAAAAAATATTTTTTTGCTAATTAACTGTTCCTTACGAAAATTTAAGACTTACGTTAGTCTTGTGATCTGATTTTTATTCCAAACCGTCTGTAAATAAAGGCTATTTCGCTTGTTCACTTTAAAATTGGACCATTAAATATAACGAATTTTACATTCTGAACACTTCATTATCGTCATTAAAGAGAAGTATACCAAGTATTAGAGCTCATTCTATTAAGTAGTTTAAACGTTTTCTTATATATACATGAGCTAAATAAAAATTTAAACGAATTTCGGGTTTCTTCTTATTCTTCAAACTCCAAGTCTCTCTTACATGCTATTTTTTATTTCTGATTTATAACATGAGAGATAAAAAGTGTTCAATTCAGAGATAATATGTCTCTGGATAGATTAGATGATTTCCAGATGACTCACCAAAGTCTTTTTTTTAAAGCAAAAAGTATGTTCGAGAAATCATCGATCTTTCCTCATGTCCGGAAATACGATAAAATGAAAGTACCTTAATAGTATATAGCTACTTTGATATTGGTTTCGAAAGATCTTCTTCTTCTTTTTCTGGATAAAAAGTTTAAAAATTTAGTATTATTTTAAGAAAATATCAGGTAACTAAGATTAACTAAGATACGATATTTAAATAATATTTTTCAACAAATTATAATTGCATTTAAAGCAGATTTGTTGTTATCTGCTACATACATTTTAACTCAAGTTCATACAGATTAATTTATCACTGAAATACAAATGCTACTTTTTTAAACAAAGATATTTATCTGTTTTTGTTTGTCTCTAACTGTCAACTCAAATAACATGATTTTTTAATATATCCTAGAGATGAAAAAGAAGCGCTCATACATGGTTCCTATGATTCAATTTAACATTCCGCTAGTCATACACATTCAGTCATGAAAGAACAAGAACATAACTTTTCTTAAAAACGGAACATGATAACATAAGTGATATTGAGGAAAAAAATTTTTCAATAATAAATTCGTCAAAGATTGTAGCAGAAAAAAAGCTGAATAATTCTTTTATGCTCTAAAAAAAAATCTGTCTTTTTCAATAATATTTTAATCAGAATGTTCATATAGACTAAAAATAATAGTCGATTTTCTAGATATCTATCTAATATATGTTATATTCTATCTGGACAAATGTGTTTTTAGATAAAAGCCATCTGTAGAAGTTAAAGCATAATTAACAGATAACAAATCTGCTTTAAATGCAATTATAATTTGTTGAAAAATATTATTTAAATATCGTATCTTAGTTAATCTTAGTTACCTGATATTTTCTTAAAATAATACAAAATTTTTAAATTTTGTAACTTTTTATCCAGAAAAAGAAGAACATCTTTCGAAACCAATATCAAAGTAGCTATATACTATTAAGGTACTTTCATTTTATCGTATTTCCAGACGTGAGGAAAGATCGATGATTTCTCGAACATACCCTTTAATCCTAAACTTATTAAGTTTTCCAAATTCTCATCCCAATATGAAAATAGGTCCGATGAATTGCATTTATTTTGAGTTTGATGTTAACTGGAATTAATAACTTCAGACGAAACTTTCAAGAAGTTCTAATCGATATTCAAGATATATTTCATCAATATCTTATGTTAGAATCTTTCTAATAATTACTGAAAGGCATATCAATGACTTAAAACTATAGAGAAAAAAAAATGATCTATCTGAAATTGTAGAGCATCGATCTGAATTCTCTCCGATTCTTCTGAATATCATTGAGAATTAAACGTATTTATGATAGTTAACCAAATAACCATCATCATTTATGGATAAAATTCATCATTTTGAAGAAAAGCAGAAAATAACAATAGACAAGTTTTAAAAATATCTGGAAGTGTTTCTCTGTCAGGAATTGAAAGAAAAAAACTCTATCAAGGCATTCTTCTTTGTTCAGTTTTTGATTAGATAATGTCATGTTAGTTTTAAGAACTTTATCAGACATAGTCAACATTCTATATCGATTATATTATATTTATACTTCAAGAAAAATATCACGTACTTTCTTTTTACTAATGTACAAGTAACTTATCAAGTATACTTTTGTAAAGATAAGTCAAAGTACATTTTTCTAAGTACAAGGAAAAAACATGTACTTGTTGTACTTGTACTATTTCTAGCTCTCATAAACATCGATGACATACCTTAAATTTTTTATCAGATGAACAATCTATAATTGGAAAAAGTCGACCACCTAACAAAATTTGTTCACCACCATATCTCATATCACCAATTTCTTTAGATTTTTTGGTGGTTCGTGTTGTTGAGATACCTACAAAAGAAAAAAATAGAATACAACATGATCTTCATATAAAAATATCTTCAGATCGGCTGATTGAAATAATAAATGAAATCGAACTGATAGAAAATGATCATCTGCTGATAAGTAAACAAAGCTTAGCATAATCTTGTTGCGTTTTGTATAACAAGGAATTAATTAAATTTCTGCTATCATCACACTCTTTTTTTCGGCAAATTTTCACCTCTGTACTAATTCAAACTCACCACGTTTTCTTTTAGATGGTGAAACTCTACTATTGGGAGATATCATCACTATCTTACGACCAATGTTTGGTGGTGTAACTTTGATCCTAGAAAAAAAAAGAGATATGCAAGTTTGTTATAGAAAAAAATCAAAGTTTACTGTTTATGTTCATTATTAATCACAGACGAAAATGTACAGAAAATGCTCGTACAACAGTGACAAACTTCGTGAACCAGCTTAATGACACCAAGAGCAATATGAAATTTATATTCATCGATGCATGGTTCAATTTCCAAGATATACTTATACCACTGCAACAGAGGTAAATAACGTTGTAAGAGAAGAAATAGTTATTTTTCTACTCACTAATTGACTAATAAATATCTGACATGGTTTATTTTCATTGTAATTGAACACTTCACATTGCATAAGAACATCAGGTACTTCTAATTTATCAATGCAAACTTCCATTTTCAGTTGAGCAAGTCCTTCTTCGACAAATTGTTGTAATTGATTACAATCTTTTGTACGATTTTCTACAACTTGAGCACATAATTCATTTAAAACATTCTGTTGAAACTTATTGTGATTAATAATAACTAATGCACGTTCAATAAAAGTATTCAAAAATGGATGTTGATTTGCTAAATCTGAGGAAAATCGATCAAGTTTTAGCTAAAATATAGCAACATTTTACGCTTGCTGTCAAAAGTTTAATAATTATTAATAATTACTTGAAGCATGACACAATCAAGAATTGATTATAAACTAATGATAGGACCAAAATTTAAAACAAATTACCGTTTTAAGTATTTCTTAAGGATATTTAATTACCTTTGGTATGAACTCTTATTTGCCGAACTATAATCAAACTAAATAAATACACTTAACAAGATATAAATAATGTCAAAATCTAAAAAGATAAATAAAATGTTAATATTGATCGTGAGTTCGCTTCGATTAAATTACACTAAAGAAGAAAAAGATTATTCTCAGAACGAACTACAAGCGACACATACGTAGAAGAAGAGAAACACAAGCAAATTTTAAACATATTTAGTTCATTTTAGTTTTAAATTATTTGTGCTTAATTTATAGTTTTGTTAAGTTAAAAGTTAAATTAAATTATCGTATATTTTTTTTTTTGTTTCATTTAACTGAGACAAACGACGACAAACAACGTGTGGATTTCAACGAAATAAAAATCAGAAAACAGACATTTAAACACGTTCACGACTGGTTAAGTTTTCGACGAATATATTTCATTCAGAAAACTTCATATATTAAAATGTGCACTTTTAAGATTTTATTTTTATTGGTTTCGAGTCGTCTCTTGCTTGTTGTGTGTTGACTAGAATAAAATAACAAAAGAAAATAAAATAATTTCATTTTATTTATAATCTAAGAAGTAAATTCATTGCAAATCAATTACATTGAAAATAAGTTTAACGCCCTGTAAGTAAATAAATGTTCAAAGTGAAATGACGAATGAAAATAATTTAAATGTATTTTAAATATAATATTTAAGTGCACACAGAAATTAATTTTAATGTAAAGTTAAGGTGGCACTGCTAGCCTAGAGAAAAAGATAGTTTATTTTTATGTTCTTTTTCATTTTAAATAAAAAATGAGATAAGTACAAGAGTGTCGACTAAAAGGTTAATTAACATACGTATTTACCTTCACTTTCATCTACCTTTTATCTCATTAACATTCACTTTAACTTTTAAACTTTACAAGAGAAAAATAGCACCACATGTTTTTTTATTTATGAAAGATATACTTTGATTTTGCTTGATACACTCATCATTCGGAACACTGACAATGAACAAAATTAATGGTCCACCAACAAAGGAGATATAACTTGACTAATCAGAATTTTTCTAGTAGTGCTACCTATCGAAAGATTCACTTTTTTTTGTTTTCAACGTTTTTTTTTTAATTGTTCGATCTTCTCTTCTATATTGATGAATAACTATAGTCTTATCAAAAACATTTTTAGCAATTTATTTATCTATAAATGTAAGATACTGCACCATCAGTGTGTGGAAAATATAAAAGACAATGAGTTCGATATTATACAGTGTCTTAACTCTTTTTGTTTATTATCTGATATGTATGTATATAAAGAAAAAAAAAAAAGAAAAACAAAAAAAGGAAAACACCTATCATATAACGAGTGGACAAACAAGAATGACTATAGATGTCAGATCCTAACAGTAAAACCTGCAGTCAACTGAATAACCGTCGGTAAATGGCGATATACCGACAGTATCTATATAAAAGTGATGAGATGGGTAGCCTTTTGAACAATTAAATCAATAATCAATATAAACGAAAAATTTCTTTTCGTAGTTATTGAACTCAGCTTGTAATTTCATGAATAAGGCCTTCATCTACCAATGATAAATCAGCTGTATAATCAAGTAAAACGAGAAACTATTCGTAGGAAAACACAATATAAAAGTCTAAGAAAAACTCGTATTCCTTAGTCAATGTACATCACTGAAGTGTAATCCAGTGGTCAGTGTACAGTCCTTCGATGTCGTCAGTGTCGGTATTGACAGTTTTTGCAGTGAGACCGCACATCCCTAGTAGTGTCGTAACCAAAACAAATAATACTAAAACGAATCTTATGAAAACTTTCTTATGATAATATTAACTAAAATATGATGAAATAGCATAGAAAGATGAGCTCGATTATTTATCTTGACTGAGTTATGAATTTTTCAATTCTTCGAAATTTTATGAAAGAAAATTAAAAAAATGAGCATAATTATAAAAAAAAAACGAAGAATGATGAACATGAACATGAACAATTTTGTCTCTTTTCTTATCTGAACATATTCTATCGAATGAGATACGAATGAAACAAGAGCAAATTTTTTCTGGTAAAAATCTTGATAAATCCATTGGGTTTTCGAAAAAGACTTTTGGAATATAGATGAGCTTGTATAACATCTTTTGAAATATTTCTTAAAGATGATCTTCTCTTCTGTCCGGAAGGGTATCACTAAACGAATGATTGATTTTTTATTTTCGATATTCTCTTTTAACTTGTCATAGATGTCATCTAGAGAGTTACATTCGATCCAAATAAATTTCTTTTACTCGACAAAAGAATAATCAGTCATTGTATTATCTTCAACACTAATTCGTTATTTGACAATGGATTTTCTAGAGAAATCTTTCCTATGTTCAGTCTATCTTATTATAAGCATATTACTCTTGTTCGTAGGCAAGATTTTTTAAAAGAAAATCTTCTGGCTTCAGATTTTTCGTGTCTGATCCGGTCGAAGCCTGAACTCCGACTGCTTTCTTTAAAAAATCTTGGCTACGAACAAGAGTAATGTGCTTATAATAAGATAGACTGAACGTAGGAAAGATTTCTCTAGAAAATCCATTGTCAATTAATGGATTCGTGTTGAAGATAATGCAATGACTGATTATTCTTTTGTCGAGTCGAAGAAATTTATTTGGATTCGATGCATTTCTCTAATCTTATGGTTTATTCGATGAAGAAAATCCCCTATTATATAAATATTATTTAAGTTTTGCCTTTTTGTATATATCAATTATCGATAAAAGTGATCATATGATTTTTCTAGAAAAATAATTTTCAAATTTTCTTCTCGTGTTTTTTTTGTTTTGAAGAATTTTTTTTCCTCGAACATATTCATTTAAATAAAATATATTTCAATTATATTTTAATAAGTATTAGTGTTTTCTATTTTCTCTACTTATTTAATCATATACCTTATTATCTAACAAATATAGTAAACTATTTTATTTCATTATTCGGATATTGAATAAATATTTCAATATTTAATATAACAACGATTATTAGAATATACTCGGATCAATCGTCAAAGGAATTATTGGGGTAATAAAATTAGGCTTATCTGGTTTGGTACGATCAGTCCGTAATTTGACACACCTCCTTTCTCAATTGTGCATCGACGATGAAGAGAGTGCAAGTTGAATAAAAACGATGTCTATTATTGATGGAATCACTCTTTGAATAATATTGAATATAACGGATAACCCATTATATATGAGACAACTTAGCATATCATAGTTTGATTCTTAAATAGCTATAAATCAAAAAACGGCAATATACAAGCACAAGATCTTATGCGAAAAGCTCACAGTTTACAAACAATAGTTTATCTTAATCATATGCTTTTGATCTTCAAAAAAAAAAACAAACAAAAGTTTGTACGATCAGTTTTCAAAAGGACAAAAGTTGATCCCACAGAATTTCGTTTTCTTTTTTTGGAAAAGAAAAAGTACACTATTTAAATAAGGTTTATATTGCAGATCGTCGAACTTTTCATGGTGTATCGTTGTGCTTGTATATTGTCGTTTTTTTTAAATCGAACCTTTTTAAGAATCAAAGAAGAATAGAAGAAACATCTTCTGCTTTTCGCCTAGATTGCGGTGTAGAGTACTGTTCGGAAAGAATTTTGTAAGGTCGATATTATTCCTAGAACTATTACTGGTTCTAGCTCTCGACAGAAGGTCGGTCTGACTCAACGTCGTTTCGCTTAATCACTTAAGCTGACCAACCATAGACACTCTCTAACCATATAGAACGCACTACATGACCTTTTTGTCTATGTCAATGAGATAGTGAGTGTCCTATGAGATGAGTGATGAGAGATAAACAGCTGTTAGCAACGTTGATGAAGACTATTCAATGTCTAGTAGATAATATTTTCTGCTTTAAAACTTCGTATAAACTCGTTCTATATGACGATTGATTTCAGCTTTGTAAAGTCCATTGTTATATGAAAAGAGAAAGATCTAGTTATTGCAAAAAATGTTTTAAATATGTCGAAGGTTATTGTTGATTATTGATTTGTTAAAGTAGAAATATGTCGTTTGAAGATTTCTAAAATAGATGATAAACAAGATAATCAATCATATCCTCTATTTAATGTTAATTAACTAAATTTTCTGATAAATCTTCTTGGTAGAATATTTCGAAAATAAAACAAAATAAAATCTTTTAAAATGAATTCTAGTTATGATATATTAAAAAAGTTCATTTTCATTTTCTGCATAAAACTATAATAATCAGTTATTAAAATTGATAAGATTAGAAAGCAATTGAGAAGAAAATCAAACAAATGATCATCACATAATGAATTATTCGAAAATTGTTCATCTTCATCACATTACATACGGTACCTCAACACTCAAACAAAATAAAGTCAATTTAACATGAATTAAAGAATAAATCGTCTAAAAAAAAGACGATTTGACTCGGAATTAGACTAATCATATTTATTTATTCGATTTAGTTTTTTTTTTCAGTCTCTTTTCGACCATATTAAACAAATGAGATAAGAGAAATAAATAGATTCGTTCCTTGTTATGAATTCATTCAAATCATAATCAACTTCGATTATTGAAAAAAAAAAAAACATATTCTTATTCTTGTTATTGATTATATCAGTCAAATTGAAGAAGAAGTCAAAGAGACTAGACCAATTACAATTGAATTAATCAATTAGATTGCTCTTTCGACGTAACAAGGCGAATCGAATTGGTTAATTCAATTTCAATTGGCCTAGTCTCTTTGTTGATCCCTAATAAAATAAGTATAGAAAGATTTTTGCTTTTCGAATGTGTCAGAAAAAGAGATAACTGAAAATAAATCTGAAATAGTCATGTGTCGAATTGAATGATTTACCGGATGAAATTCTTGGAATTATTTTCAAAAAACTGAACAATCTTCAAGTAGTTTATTTGTTTTCAATGAGTCAATAAAAGATTGAATAAAATTCAAGATGATCGAATATTTACAAATCGTTTAACCTTTCTCAAATGATCATTCAATAAATCTATCAACATATTTTCTTCTTAAATTATACTTAATCGATTTTATTCGAAAATTTTACCTAAAATTCATACGAAAATCAAATCGATGGATCTTCAATATGAATCTATGATATATATATATTAGATGATGATCATTATCCTAATTAATATGTATTCGGACTATATAATTATCGAAGAAGAGATAGATAAACGACTTTTTATTGGTAACACATATATTAATCGAATTCGATTTTCTTCTAACTAAACTAAATAAATGCATATGTTTTATATAATTAATAGAGATTAATAGAACATTGAACATATTAAAGAAATTTCATTTCATTATTTATGATTAACTATGAAACTGTAATAGAGAAGAATTATTTACACAACGTTTATATAAAGATAAATAAAAGAGAATAAATTTTTAATCAGTAGAAAATAATATTAAAAAAGTAATAATCATTATTCGATAAAAGGGTGTAGATGTGCGTTAGCAGAGATATGATCAACCCACAGTCACACCCTACAAAAACCATTTAGTTTTCTAAAGGTAATAAATGATGACCACTTAGAATAATTCCTAACCATACTATTCTTCTAATGGTGTTTTTTCTCCGTTTTTTATCAATATTTTAGAGAGTTACATTAGAAAAAGTTCAATTTTTAGTCAAAACTAATATTATATACGAAATCCCAACCGAGCAGAACTAAAGATAAATCCCATAAAGACACCAGTTGAACATTAGAAAAAAGTCTTGGAAGTTAATTAAACGGATTGGATAGGGAAATGGCAGACTTATAAACTATAAAATCACAATTTTCATTCACTTCTTTTTTTTTCGGCCTGCTTCATGAACGGGAACCAGGCGAACATTTTTTAGACGAAAGAAAAACTTCGAGAAATTGTTTGAATTCTACTTAGACTAACTCGAAATTTTATGCTCATGTCCATATATAATATGAGTTTTGACTCAACATTGAACCTTTTCCAATGTAAGTCTCTGAAATATTCATAAATAACGGAGAAAAACACGGCATTGGAAGAATAGGATGATCACGAATCATTCAAATGTCTATTAGTTTTTGCCTTTGAGAAATATATGGTTTTGTACCTTTGAAAAAGAGTTGTTAAATGAGTGATATGACAACTACAAGTTTGCTCTTTTCAATTTAAAAATAAATATATTCGTTGAACTAGAAAAGTTGATGATAAATTTAGTAAATATGGTAAGACTATCTGCCACTAGACATTCGGCTTAAATATCATTATATGAAACAATGAATTGGTCATTTATAGATTATATTGAACTTTCGTCAAACTGCTCCCAAATTCATTATTTTAGCATTAGTTTCTCTCATCTAACTATTCTCAAATTGAATCCACCATTATACGATAAATTATTAAAATAATCACCAAAAATCCATTACTTTGTTTAGAATTTTTACCTTTGAAAATTCTATGAAAATCTTATAAAAATACCAGGAAAACGTTAACCTTAACATACTCTATTCGTTGATATATCATTCAATGAGATTAAACCAGAAAAATACTAATGGGACGATTTGACATCTTAAGCGTCTCTGTCATTTTCAAGAACGCGTCTAAATCCAAATAAATCTTGGCTCTTTTCGATTGACAATCGCACTTTTCAAGTGTCGACAGAAAATGGCTAAAAACAAAAGGCGTCAAAGCGGTTAAATATAATGAAAATGTAAAGCATGAATCTAGAAACGATAAAAAGTTTCGATTTCAACGGTTTTCACGGGCACTTCATCAGTTACACTTTTAAAGACTGAATACATCAACTTATTTAATCTTTTATCAAACTTTTATCTGCTTATGTAGCGGGATGGCTATGCCATTATAATACCAAAGGTGATACATTTCTAGTCATTACTCACATTAAAATTCTATTTTTTTAATTTAAAATCGTTTGGAAAGACTTGTGCATAATCGAGTAAATCACCTTGTCAAACTAGAAAAATGAACTAGTTTAGATATTCTAATAAGATTTTAATCATATATTATCTACGATGATCTATCGAGTCTTTCTCTGACGATTTATAGAGAGTAGATCGTCATCTCTATCCTATAGATTTCAAGACTTATTTTCGATAGTAGTTCACAAAGGCAATTTCTATTTATTTAAAAATCGATTGTTTCAACTTCTTATCCTTGACAACAAGAAATGATGAAGTTTGAAGAATTAAACTGTCCAATATGCACATTGTCTAGAAGGAAGACTCGATATAATCCCACAAAATAAAGCAGAAGGAAGCACAATAGAATGATTCATCAATCGGCAAATCTCAATCGAGTAGCTCCAACCAAAGATGAGTTTGACTAGGAATTTCGTATAATTGGTTAGTTTTCGAAAATACTAGATGTTTCATGGTGGTTTTATTCCTGTCGAAGAATGAATAGTTCTGTGTCTCCGATCAGAGGATAAACTCGAATTCTTACCTGGATGTCATTTATAGATGATTACTATTATTATTTACCTTTTCGTTTGTTCTTATGAAAAAAAAGTAAGAATAGGCGAGCAACGAATGTGCGTACGTATACGTTGGTTATTTTCACGTTGTTTTGCTCTCTGACTGTGAATCTTTGATTATCAAAAAAACAAATAACAAATAAAGTATTTGAAAATTTTTCTTGACAAGCCGCAGGAAGTTTTTTTTTTTCGTTTCTAATAAGTCATATTCAGCTCCATGGTTAACTGATGCAACAAAGTCGAATATTTCATCATGGAAATATTTCATTATTAGAACAAACAGTAGTTGATAAAACTACACATATAAATGGATTTTTTCAATAATCTTGTTTATAATGATCTATTAGATACCGTTATCAATCGTATCATGACAATATTCTATATCACCTTCATTTTCTATTAGACTTACAGATTTATTTCAAATAAGAATTATAAATATAAATGAGGATGCTCATCGAGAAAAATATCGTAGAAACGATGAATCACTCATGCAACATATGTCAAACGTTTTCTTTTTCCTATTAATCATCACTATTTACGTTTAATTTATAGATTTGCAATTTTTAATAGACGAAGATTGGAAATAGATGCAACAAAATCTCGAAAATATTCTTGCTTATATTTATCAATATGAACATGTTAATGGTTTTCGTCTTCTATTTAAACCAAATGATGAACATTTATCAATCATATATCGCTTTTCTATTAAAGAATTCCTTTAGTCATCTACGTACATATCCATGCACGAAGAAATCTTATGTGTAGTTTCAGATAAATGTCCGATAAAGTTAGGATCTATCTCGAACCACATTGAATATTTTAAAAAACACTTCTTAACCATTTACGTAGTGATGCTCGTATTCATAGATCTTTTTTTCTAAAGATAAAACTTTTCTATTTTATAAAGAATTATTTTATTCGATAGTGGCCATTAAATAATAATAGTTAATTTTCATCAATATAGATTGAAGATTATAAACAATGTCCGAATGGATGTGGATGGAGGTTAAAACAAAACTCGTATCGAACACCTACACACAACTTAAAGACAATATAGAAGGACTCAATTATGAAAAAACCGATTTAGCCACCTAGAGCCACTTCTATAAAGAGAACTCTTCGAATAGACAGTTCTCAAAAAAAGAAAAGAACTGTTCACTTAGTACAGTTCTTGAAAAAGAACTCTTTCGTTTGATAAAGTGTGCTTGTTATTGTCACTCTTCTCTTTATCAACGCATCGACAACCACACCCCACAATAAAAATCAATCATTCTTATAGATGTCTTCAAGCAAATTTCTAAGCATATTATTTTATTTTCTTTTATCATTCGATGATGTCATGATGCTCCTAAAAATTAATCGATAGTTAACTTTATTGAGAAAATTTCTTATATTTATAGATTAAGCAAGAATATCAACTATTTTTTTTATTCTTCTACTTAACGTACAAGGACATTTTTTTTAATCATTTCTTTTAAAAATAAAACACAACAAGTTCAATTGATTATTCTTTGATATAGCTATGGAAATTTTCTTGAATAGATCGAAAATGTTTAGTGAAAAAAGGGAATTATTTTGGAAAATCTCAAGAGAAAAAAAGAATTAACTCTACTCTCTACACTCTTATGGAAAACGATGTTGATTAAATTTGGAAGAGACATTTTTTAAACTGCTAAACAAGGGATATTTCATGTATTTTACATGGTAAAGTGTCAACTACTAAAACTAAACAAAGTTGAATATATAGAATATTCTAAAAAATTTTTTTTTATTGAGTATTTCATAATCGATATGATAAAATCATATATTGTTATATATTCTTGTAGAAAGTTGTCTAAGACTTATTTGTTTGATTAAAAATCTCTTAAGTAAAATGATTGAGATTGTGTGAAGAAAAATGAAAAAAAAACGGTTATCTTTTAAAAATAATTTACTTCACAAGATAAAAGCAAAGAAATCAATAAATGAAAATTATTATCATTTTTATAGTTGATAAATGCGCTATCAAACTTTATTCTTTCGAATATGTTTCCATTTAAAATAATTATTCGAATTATTTATTTAATTCATTTTGATACTCTTATACGAGAAAAACTTATTTATATTCTCAAATTATCGTTTAATTGATAATATCTTTTTTCCTAATGTTAACATCTATAGAATGCATACTATAGACGACAGACAAATTTTCTCCTTGGTTCAACTTGAAGGGAGGTGAAAAAAAGCTTGACTTTAATTATCATTAACTATATTTTTTCTATAGGTACCTTAACAAATATATAGATAAGATCTCTTTATGATATATTAATCTTTTTATAGAATGTGCATTCATGCCTGATCGACTATAGACTACTCACATACATATTGGCAAACGAACTAAATTCCCTTTGACATTTTTTTTTTAATATTTACAATAATTGACACATCATTTACATAAATAAGAGATAAGAAATGGCCGATCAAGATTCAAAGACAGAAACTGATTAGATTTTTCTTTAAAATAGTCACTTTGTTTTCTATTATTAAATTCTATGTTTGTTCTAGCTGGATGTAATGTGTCTCCACCAACTTTCGATTGTCCATCACACCAATCTAAAATTTGAAAATGTCCACCAACACATCGGCCTGAAAAGTCCAATTGTCCACCGGATTCATAGTTGAACAAAAAATTTCTACTAAACTTTCATAAGAACATTGAACTAAAGGAGACTTTTTATTAATAAATGGGAGTGACAAGTCACTAGGATACCCCATTAATGTTTTTTTCTATTTTAAAGATAAAACATACTATTGTTCGGGTCATGTGAGAGAGGATCATAGATAACCCTGAATTGATCCGAACAACATCATGTTTCACCTTTACAATAGTAGAGAAAAGTCGCCAGCTCATCATGTGAGACGGTAGCTTTTCTCTACTGTTGTAAGGATAAAACATAGCGTTGTTCGGACCGATTCAGGGTTATCTATAATCCTCTCTCATATGACCCGAACAATAGTATCTTTTATCCTTACAATATAAAAAAAAACATTAATGGGGTATCCTAGTGACTTGTCGCTCCCAAATATCGAACTATTCTATCTACTAATTTTCTATATCTTCATTAATATATTGATAAAATAGACTTTTTTTATATTTATTCTATTGGTTATACATTCCATTTTTATATATCTTAATAAAACTAAATGAAATATTCGATTGGGTGTGGGTGTGGGTG